GCTTTCTTTAATGAAGTTTTTAAAAAAGAAAGCCATACTTCCTGCTTGCATGTAAGGATTTCCATGTTTAACATTTTGTAATACAATCATTTTATTTTCTTTCATCATTTTTATTACAGTAGAATAAATGAGTTATAGAAAGTTATAGAAATTGAGATCATAAAACAAGAAATGCAGCATGGATGCCCTGCAAACAGAAATTCCAGCATTCATTATTCATTCAATTAAAGCATAAAAATATAGTTGCTCCATCTTTTAATGTGCATACCATTAATTATTTCCCTTCAAAGCTGCCTATAAAATTGTAGTTCCACTTCCTATTATATAACCAATGTGTTTCAAACAACATGAAATTATAGAACTAACCAGACAAGTTATTTTCCCAGGCAAAGCTACCTTATTTTTAGCATCAGAATTGCAGACCTTTTCATTGATCATCAGTTTCTTAGCAAATTTGGTGATCTGTGTGTACCTGTATCATCTCACACTTAGGGAAGTATATTTGTACACCCATTTGCACCTAACCTCCAGAGTCCTGGTTCTTGGGCTGTGCCCTAAGGCCTTCTTCCACCCTTCCTGCTTTTCATGGACTTACTCAAACCCTGACATTATCTTCTTTGACTGCAGCACAGAAATCTGTGTCTTCCAAAGAAATACAGCACATAGGTGAGTGACAGTCAAGGTAGCATTTCCAGACCTGATTTTATCAACTTGCCATATGAAATTGATGAACTGCCAGCTGTACCTTCTTTACATATATAGTTACAGTTATAACACTAATTAAACACCATTTCAAATGAGCTTAACGGTAGCAAAGGTGTGCAATTCACTTTTCATCCTGTCTTGTCTAAATATTAATATCCTGCTAAGGGAAATAATTAAGGAATCTCCTACTGTTGCAGAGAAATGTGTCCATTAACTTCTCCTATAATAATCCTTGTACTAATTTTCCTCAATTCTCTGGCTACTTGTTGGGTCCTCGCATTCTGTCTTTTCTCCTCCAAAAGAACATCCATCTCAAAAACCCATTCAGGATAAATTAATTCACCTCTTTGTAGATGTTTCATTACCTAACTAAGAAACCTTATGTTACCTGATCAGGTAATGAAATATCTCCAAGCAAGCAACTAAGCTCAACGGGCACCACAGACTCCATACAGTACAGATTCCCAGATATCCTGACTACTCTAAGCAGTCCCTGTCTTAGAAATATAAAACCAACAGTGACTGGAGAACACTGTGTTGTCTAATCAGTATATTTAGTTAATTGCATATAACGCATACAATACACAGAGTCCCCCAATTGCATATAAAACAATGTATATTGGTAAATCATATATCCAGAATGTATATGACTATGGCATTTTGGTATTTGACTTTTAAACTATTTTAAAACTGTCTGTTAAAGTTGGAATTGAATATGTATACATTGACACAGATGGGAATTTGCACATTCCTAGCTGACTAGAGTCAGCAGCTATTCTATGACAGTATAATACGATAAACATCTGATCATTTGCTGAAATCTTTACTATCGTTAATTGAATCCAAATGTGTATAAATTTGACCAGACAAGCTCATGGAGAACTACTGTCATCACACAGACTGTATTCCTCTCCCAAGATTAACCTTCATGAAAGAAAGTTGTCCCACTTTGCAGCAGAAGCTATTCTTATGGCACTGACCATATACTCCCCCAAAACAGAGGGTCCTCAGCTTATGATCACAACTGGGACCAGAATTTCCATTGCTAAGCAAGATGGTTGTTAAGTGAGTCACACTCAATTGTACGAACTTGACTTTTTTTTCACGGTTGTTAAGTGAATCACTGCAGTTTTTCAGTAAGTCACACCATCATTAAGTGAATCCAGCTTCCACCATTGACTTTCCTTACCAGAAACCAGCTGGGAAAATTGCAAATGGCAATCCTGTGACTTCAGGATGCTGCCAAAGTCATAAATACAAGCCAGTTGCCTGAATTTCGATCTTGGGATTGTGGGAATGCTGCAACTCTCATAACTGTGAAGACTGGTCATAAGTCACTGGTTTTAGTACTATTGTAATTTTAAATGGTCGCTGAACAAATAGTGTAAGTCAAGGACTTTGTTGTTGTTAATTGCGAAGTCGTGTCCGACCCATCGCGACCCCATGGACAATGTTCCTCCAGGTCTTCCTGTCCTCTACCATCTTCTGGAGTCCATTTAAGTTCACGCCTACTGCTTCAGTGACTCCATCCAGCCACCTCATTCTCTGTCATCCCCTTCTTCTGTTGCCCTCAATCTTTCCCAGCATTAGGCCCTTCTCCAGTGAGTCCTTCCTTCTCATTAAGTGGCCAAAGTATTTGAGTTTCAACTTCAGGATCTGGCCTTCTAAAGAGCAGTCGGGTTTGATCTCTTCTAGAACTGACTGGTTTGAACGCCTTGCAGTCCAAGGGACTCGCAGGAGTCTTCTCCAGCACCATAGTTCAAAGGCCTCAATTCTTTGTCGCTCAGCCTTTCTTATGGTCCAACTTTCACATCCATACATTGCAACTGGGAAAACCATGGCCTTAAGTCAAGGACTACCTGTACCCTATTTCTGTTGTCAGCAAACCCCATTTCTACCACCACTACTCAATAGGTTTTGTAGCATATTTTCAAAGAAAAAAGGAGACAAGTTGCATATTGATATTTAAAACTATTTTCCTAGGGGGGCTTTAATTAAACAGCAAGCAGCCATAGACTGGAGGTAGCATATACTGTAATCAGGCAGGTCTATCAATCTCTGTGAAGATGTTGGAAATACAAGAGAGAAAGATATTAAAAGATAGATATATCTTTCATAAAACTAGAGAAATTCTAGAAATGGACTTAAGTTAAATAACTGCTCTGTCTGCAGATAATATCAGTCCAGAATTATCAACTTAAACCAGACAAAATATTTTAAAAATTTAAGATACCTATCCCACCCTACACCAACTTGTTCACTTTCCAGTGTCTTTTCCCAACATTCACTGGCCTTCTAAATGAAGCTGGCAGTTTAGTTTCTTGGGGAAAAATAGTTTAGGAAAGGTGTCATTTACTTACCTAATTTGATATCATATTTTCTCATCAATCATCTATTTTATATAGTTAAATGGGGAGGCTACTACATCTCTCCTGGCTAGAATTGAAAAGGAAATTAGGAACATGTCTGAATGAGGGCATTATTATTTTTCAATGCTAATGTTTTCTTTTATTAGGAATTTAGAGAACTGATGTGGTGAAAAGGTGGACTACCTATTACATTTAATAAATTTAAATTTAAAAAAAATTGTCTGATTTGATTGTGAAAATCAGAATACTGGAACAGAAGTTTTTAGATAGAAAAATTATGGGAATATTTTCAATTATGTAAAATGGTGTGTACCCCAATTTATATATATGATGGAACTGATTCAAAATAATTGCTCATGACTGACTTGGTTTCTAAACAGGAATTTGACCAATATCAGTAGGAATAAAGATACCAGCAAAGAATTAAAGACCTGCCAACATATCAAAATTATCCTAGGATTGTAATTTTTAAAAATTAATTTACTTTAAACTCATAGAAAGTAAAATATATGCATGTAGGGGTGTCTGTGTGAATCACAGGTTTTCAGTTTTACAGTTACATATACAATTATACACACATTTTTAAAAAATGCATTGCTTTTTCTATTTTGCACTATAAAAGTGTTCAATTTTCTTTCAGTTAATTCTATATAAGGATTTTAAGTGTAATTCATCAAAGGGGATTTATTGGAAATGCCCAGTTGTCTCTCCTAATAATTACTCACAAATTTAAATTGCCCTTTTCAGTTCTCTTGCTTTTTAAGATGTCAGTTACAGTAGATTTAAATTATAAGTTTTGCTATCTCTGTGTTCCTGTTGTATTTCAATATGTTTCTATCTAACTATTAGTTAGATATGTTTTTAAAAGACTATATTCCTTTTGAAACGTGAAAAGCCAAGAAAAAAATGATAAAAGACTTATTTGAAAGACTAGAAACTTTATGTGAACTTTTTGCTGAAAGAAAAAAAAGACTGAATTGATGATATTAGAACTAAAAAGGGTTAAAGAGGGAGAGGAAACAGTGAGACTGCAACTACTGGATAGAAAGAAGGACAGAAGTTATAATTTATATTTTCTTTTTTTTTTAACTTTTCTTTTTTCTTTTAAAAAAAATCTCTCTTATTTTTCCTTTTTTATGCTTTTATTGTGTTCAAAAACTCTAAGAAAAAAAGAAAAAGTCAAGCTGAACGGTGAACTGAATGAACAGAGCTAAATTTTTATTTGCAGGCAAAAAGGTGTGCCCCTTCATATTTAAATGGCAAAACTTTGAAATGCAGCAGGCACCAACTTCCTTTGATGCTATCACAAGGTTTTGAATGATGCGGGCAGCCACCAAGAAATAAACAGGGTGCAATCTCACAAAATGTTAGCTACATCTTATAATTGTTTTTTTAAAAAAATAATAAATAATCTGCAGGGTTCCAAATTTTCAACTTGTTGATAGTTTCAAAGACATCTAGATTTTTTTTAAGTAAAAAATAAAAAAAGGAAACAAGCAGGATTAATGAATCAGTATGAAATCAAAACCACGGAAACAAGATTAATGAATTAAAATGCAACTTAATGTGCTGAAATCCAAATGAACAGCCAGATTTTCTCCCCAAACCTGCTACTTAAGACTGAGATGTTGAAAGGCAATTAGCATTCTCCCAGCTACTGATTTTATTTTATTTTACTGGCACAGGGGCAATTTTTGCAAGGACACCTTGTATATGTCTTCAACTTTCTTGAATCAACTTTTCTGCTCCTATCCCATCTATTTATCAGAACACCCAGAAACTATTCCAAGTTTGAAATAGGGCCAACTTTCATTATTTCAAAAAATTCAGATTGACTGAAAGATTAGAGAGAATGTATCTACTTGTTATGATTTCTCAGCAGAGAAATCAAAAAAATATAGACAGCAATGACAGTCTCTTCCTTACCTTCTCCTCTGTGGTTTCCATTCTTGTCAAGTAGTTCTTTTCACAAGCGCAAGAAACAATTCGTTAACAGACAGACAACACGCAAATCTGTTGTCGCTCTTCCTTGGCACATCCCAAAAGACAAGAATCATATATGCACGTTCCAGGCTCCACCCAGTGTGACTTCTGGATAAGAAAACAAGAAAGGACTGTGGTTTTTTTCTAGCCCAAGAAATAGCTGCAGTCAAACTTCACCACCATAAACGCAGATGAAGTAACCAACCATTATCTGTTCTGAATCCTGAACCAATGCATTCATTCCAATACAAACAGTTCCTGGTTTTTCTCTCCTTCTCTTCCCACTACACACACAAACAGTAGCACTATTTTCTTGTTATAATTACCCATTTTTCAGGTATGATGTGATAAACCAGGGGTCCCCAACCCACAGGCCATAGCCTACAACTGGGCCATGGCCTATTCGCAACTGGGCCACATGAGCAGCAGGCCGGCGCACACACACATACATACACACAAAAACACGCAGCTCAACTTGCACAAGTGGAGCTGTGCACGCATGCGCGTGCTTGCCGACCCACCACTCATGCAAGTCGAACTGCATGCGTCCATGTGTACCAGCCCATCACTTACATGGCTGGTTCCCCTCTCCATCACACCACCAAGCCACAAAGATTGGGGACTGCTACAGTAGACTATAGCCTGTAACTTTTAATATCATGATCTATGGTGAGGGAAAAAAACAAGTCTCCAGGACAGAATGAAATTACATAACTGGCAATAAAAAACTGATACACCGAGTGTAAAAATCTGATCACCAGATGATAGGAGAAATTGGTTGGTTGGTTGGTTGGTTGGTTGGTTATGTGTCATCAAGTCAGTGTTGCCTCTTAACAATCATATACAAGTAGATAAACTTTCTCCCAGATGATATGTCCCAGGCTACTCCTTCAGGTTTTCTAATGGACACCTATCACAACTATAATGAAATCCATCCACCATGATGCTGATCATCCTTTTTAGTTACAAAAAGATCCTTCAAAGTAGAAAGGAGTCATTCTTTATAATGCTTCAACACGGCTACACCTCTTCCCGTGATCTTGGGCCAAAAGTAGCTGCATTATCCTAGGAACTGTCCTAAAATAGAACAGTATCATGAGGAGACTCTAGTGACAATTGATATGACTGTCTCCCTGAAAAATGTTCTTCCTATTCTCCAAGACTGTGTAGCAATCTATTATATCTAATTACATTGCTGAATTTAAATTTTTATCTATATCTACCTTATTGTCTGAAACTATCCTACCACAAAAAAAATTGAGGGGGGGGTTTTAAAATAGCAATGAGGCACTACCACTTTATTGACATAAACCATCTAGCATACAAGCTATTGACATGCCTCATAACAAGATATTCTAAGAAATATTAATAATACCATTTCACTTGTTGAAATTAGGACAAAACGACGTTTACAATTTGTTCCTTGTGTCCCTTATTTTTTTCTTTTCTACCTGAGAAAGCATTTTTGTTCCCATCTTACCCATTTCAAACCATCACCCCTTTCCTGGACCTCCCAACCAGAAAACATCTATCCTTTTCTTTGTGTGGGATCTTTCCTATTATATTTCTCTTTGCTATACAACTATAGCACATAAAGCATGGTGCCAGCATCCAATTTCATTTACAACTCATTCTGCACATCTTGTGAACCTTCAACAAATTAGAAGGTGCAATGCAGTTACAAGAAAGAAGACAAGAATTCAAAAACTATATTAAAGAAAAGAAAAGCTAGAAAAGACAAATTTCAATTTTCTCTTGCCAAATGACAAAAAGAGGAGCCATGAATTTTAAAAAATAAACTAAAATTTCATGAAGAGCTACTCAAGCAAGTTGGGAAACTCGGTCAGGAACATTCCTGAATGATGTCCTTACATGACTACTGACACGTTTAGTTGTCTGCATTTTTCATGGTGCAAATATCTCAACTAACTAGCCAGAAACCACAGAGGCACTAAGAGGCAGCAGTTTCTACAGAATCACTATTCATAGAGTATTTGAAATGCATATGAGGAGCTGGTGTGATTCTTCAAAGGTGTTGTGTAACCTGAAAGTGAGGGAGGTTGGATGTCTCTTAGATGAATCTCTTATTCAGGATGACTTTTATAACAATTTAGCTTATAGTTACAAAAGAACTTATGCTTGCAGATAACCATTAGTTCAGCAAAGTTTATGTATGTAAATGTATGTAAATACATCCCCCTGCTTTAATTCAATAGTATCTTACCTATTTTCATTTCAATGATTTTTTTTAAAAAAATCTTTCTAAGAATATTCTCCCTTCAAAATTACTGGACCTCTGTTTAACAATGTATTATAAACAATGCATTGTAATTATGGAAACAAAGAGTCTACAATATTTTATTGATCAGTTATTGCATATATTTAAGCCTCTTTAGCGAAGAGAATACAGAGTAAAGGAAGCTCTGTAGAGAAGTGCTTCACCTTTTCTTTGTTACAGGTAATTCTCAACCTATGACACAATTAGGACCAGAACTTCTATTACTAAGCTATGTGGTCATTAAATGAGTCACACCCAATTTTGCAACCTCTTTTGCTACAGTCATGAAGCATATCACTGTGTTGTTAAGCAAATCTAGTTTCTGCCCTTGACTTGGTCATTGGAAGCCCCCTGGAAAGGTCCTAAATGGCGATCACATGACCTCAGGATGCTACAACCATAGTAAATACATGCCAGTTGCCAAGAGCCTAAATTTTGATTCCATATTTGTAAAAATGTTGCAATGGTCATAGGGATGAGAATCAGTTGTAAGTAGCCTTTTTCATCACTGTTGCAACTTTGAACATTAAAAAATAGTTGTAAGTCAAAAACTACCTGTAGTTCTATAAATTTATTTCCTTCCTTTCAGATTCTAAAGATGCTTCCATGCTGACTTCCCACTGGAAACCACTGGAGGAAGAAAAATAATATGATTGTTTCTCTGTGCACCCACCATTTGCCACTCTTTGGCCCGGAGATCCAGCTTTAGTTGCCCCGTTACTTTTGGAGACCTGAGGTATCAGTAACAGAGTAACAGAGTTGGAAGTGATCTTATAGGTCATCTAATCCAACCCCCACCCACCCAAGCAGGAAACCCTACACTATTTCTGACAGATGGCAGTCCAGTCTTTTCTTGAAAGCTTCCAGTGGTGAAGCTCCCACAACTTCTGAAGGCAAACTGTCAGAAGATTTCTCCTTGTTTCTAGGTTAAACCTCTCCTTAATTGGTTTCCATCCATTGTTCCTTGTCTGGCCTTCAGGTGCTTTGGAAAATAGGTTGACCCTCTCTGTTCTCTGTGACAGCCCCTCAAATATTGGAACACTGCTATCATGTCATCCCTGGTCCTTCTCTTCACTAGACTAGCCATGCCCAGTTCCTGCAACCATTCTTCATATGTTTTACCTCCAGTCCCCTAATCATCTTTGTTGCTCTTCTCTGCAATTTTTCTAGTTCTTGCAGGTTGACATAATTAATCTGAAGATGGTGGGACTAGACATGATGAATATCTGCAAAACCAATTGCTGACGTGTACTTGTTCTAAAGCAGTGATAGCGGGATCTCCATCTTCAGCAAATGCATGTCAAGAATCATGGAGAATTAAAGACAATCGGAATACTGTAAAAAATACTTTTAGCCTTCTTGTAGAGTTGATTTCCTCAGTGCATCTGCTTAATGGGGCTAATAATAGCAGAGGTGTTACACACTCCCACAGATGTATGCTGATTAGCACACTAACTACTGTCTTCTAGACTAATTGCAGCTTCTGAATAGACTTCAAAGATAGCCCCAAGAACACTGTATTGCAATAGTCTAACTGAAGAAGGCATGCATTATGTAACTAGGTCCCCTTGTACCAAGTCAAGTCATCATTGGCACACTAAGCTGAGTAAAGGCCCCTCTAGCTAAGACTTCCATTTGCTGCTTAAGCAGAAGCAATAAATCCAGAAGGATCCCCAAATTGCAAAGCTATTTATCTGGGGGGTAGTGCTTCTCCACCCAGAGATAATGTTGGTGTTGATAGAGAACCTTGATATATGCCAACAGTACAAACAGAATTCTTCTCTATGTAGAGAAAATAATGTTCTTGGATGTACAGCATACATTCTTCAAGCCCATCTATGAAATAATTCCAGAAGCAGACGTATTCTGACTTCATGGTATTCAGAGCCTTGCGATGACAGGAAACCAGGACTATGGGCCACTGGGTAGAAGTGAAATAACCATTGGAACAGACCTCTTTTCATCTAGCTCTTTTTCCCTCAGAAAAGAAGTGTTCTGCTTTTTAATAAGAAATAATAAAACAGCTAAGAAGAAGTATCTTTGAGATCACAAAAGCTGGAACTAAATACAACAGAGTTTCCAGGGTGCCAAAGAAGAAGAAGATTCAACAATTTCTTGGATCCGTTAAGAAGCATATAAATGATCCACATCATCAGAAAGGTTCAACAATTATTAGCAAAAAAATAAACAATGAAGGAAGAGTTAAAATTAAAGACTGGATCACACACTACAATAAATTTACCTAAGATGGCCATTGTTCCAAGAGGTTTACCTCAGCAGGAATGCAGTTTAATGATGTACAGCCACTCCCAGTATTTTCTGGCAAAACACTTAGCACTAATTGTTCTAATTTAATGAATAACAAGATTTCCAAGATTGGATGAAATTGAGTGGAGAGATAACTAGATTCTTTTAAGTAATATTAGCTAATGTATCATCAGAGAGATGCCTTGCTTCCTAAGTGGATTTGGATCAGCTTGTATAAGTATATATGTGTACATATTAACATGCATGCTAAAGGTGAGTCAACATTGATTTCCACCCTGCCCTGCTATAATGAACAGAAGGCAGGTAGTTCTCAACTTGCAACCAGAATTGGGACCAGAATTTTGGTCACTAGGTGAATTGAATTGAGTCATTGCAGCTGAAAGGCAGGTTAGTAAAAAAATGCTTGGGGGAGGCGAGG